GATTGCGGTGGCGTACAGGAGTCGTACAGTAAGCACGCGTGAGTCCATTATAATACTGCGTGTATGAGTGCTCTTGGCGCACTTAAATAAACATTTGAAACAAGATAAATGGTCTATGCTTAATTTCATGAAGTGTGCAATTAATCGCGATTAATCACAGAAAAAGGATGTGATTAATCAGATTAAAAATGGGTGTTTACTGAATTTTCAGCATGATTACGCCAGTCTGTACAATATGCTGATTTGCTGCTCAGTAACCATTTCTGATTATTGTCAATGTTGTAAACATTTGTGTTGCTTAGTATTTTTGAGGAAACAATTTTTTTTCACGATTCTCTTATGAATATTTGAAATTGTTCTTTGTGTCAGAGCGCTGGATTTCGTCAGAAATAGAACGCTGCATCAGTTTACTGTCATGGATTTGTCAGAAATAATTTATTTTTTATTCTTATTTCTTTTGTCGCCTCGCGCCGCATCCACAGCAGAGAACATCACTGGGTTCTATTTGCTTTTGTCACATCGCGCCGCTCGCGTCTGCTGTAGACACGTTGTTTTGGTGTGTGTGAATCTTAAGTATATTCATAATCTGCTTTACATTTACCTGGCACTGGAAGTCCTTTCACAAACTTGTAACTTACATGCTTAGGGCAGAACCATGCATCGTTCATTTATATTTCTACATGGCTCACTGCAATACAACTCTGATTCTTCAATCGTGCCATCTAGTGGTCTGTTATTGATACTGTTAGAGACTAGAGCTGATCTGCGCATCACGGCACGCGTCTGTGGCGCATTAAAGCCTGTGTTACGGCCACCGGAGCTGATCGCGGCTACTCAATGCTGGTGTTTACCGGCCACGCCGCGGCCCAGAACTCAAGCTTATCACATCGTTCACATCACATCGCGCAGCGCTCAGTAAACTTGAGTCTGTTGAATGGTGATTTAACGCTACGTTGTCACCTACTTGGAGAGACTCAATGCCAAGTAAATAAACATCAATGTCCCCGTCTTTTACTCTCACAATAAGCTTATCATATTCGTTTGCTCTATATATATATATATTCTGTTTATGTAGGCTATATACTGTATTCTATACACAGTACCAGTCAAAAGTTTGGACACACGAATGGGAAGTGTGTCCAAACTTTTGACTATACTGTACTATAATATAGCCTACACACAGGGCCGTCCTTACGGGGGTGCAACTGGTGCGGTCGCACCGAGCCCTGCGGCGAACGGACCGAGATCATCGACAATTATACACCCTCATAATACATAACTTTCTCTGAAAATGTTTAAACAAGTAGAGGAAACATCTGCTTTAAACTGAAGGACCAACAATGTTCTTTAGCAGCATGTCAGTCAGTTGCAGTAAACTTAAGATGTCTGTACTGAAGGATTTATGAAGGATTTATTTGACAAGATGTGCAGTTTGGTATTAATTAGCTGCTGAAACAGAAACCCACAAGCTGTCGCCTCTTGTTGGTATAACTTTTGAACATTTTATTTTGTCAAAACCAAATAATCTGCAAATGAGGCTTAACACTAGAACCGCCACGGGGTAAATTTTATCCATGGCTGGTTTTCAAATGTACATAACTAATTTAAAATAACACATTCAAGTCTCCCAGTCATTGACTTTTACTAAAATTATGTAAGTTACAATCCAATGTTGTTATGTTCTCTTATTCAAATTATAAATTATATAACTAAACAAATTAATAAATATTTAGGTGAAGCTGTGCGCTTGAATTTTTCATCGCATCATCCTATGCAGTGTGGTGAATTATTATTGCTCATTATTGTCTATAGGCTATTTTAGTAATTTAAATAGCATGGGTTATCTTAATATTTTGATTAATGACATTGTATTATAATATTTACACCACCCAAATATTTAGGCTACTACCTTCTATTTTCCGTTGTCAGTGCAGGCTTTTTTTTTATCTTAGGCTACTGACCGTTATGGATTAGTGTAGCCTGCATTAAATAGTCTTGAACATAAAACAAAAGGATAAAAATATAGTTGATGATTAGACATAATCATTTCATGACTCTAGACACTTCTTTGTGAAGACAGTGGTATAATACAGTGAAATAATATGTTCTTTAGCCATATAAATACAGTTGT